GCATGCACACTGGCTCTGACCAATCTGTCTCTGACCAAAAGTCCAATAATAAAATAACATTAATGATAATAGTAATCCACTAACAACAATAATATAATGTTGATAAATGAATGAATTTTTATTTTCATTAGAAAATTGCCTCTACTGTCAAACTTGCTTTCAAAGCACCAGATGGAATACGYGTTCAGTATACAGGTCGGTGTGGGTAAGTGCTGTGAAAATTGTACTGTTTTTTTTTCTTTTTCATTTGTGGTATTGTGTACTATTTTGTAATTTGTATTTGTGCATTTTGTATCTTTTAGAAACAAAATTGTATCTAATGGAGAGTGCACAGGTGTTGCTATCAAAGACACGGTATGACAACTTGCTTTGTTATTCAGTAGAAATAACCTTGTTTGATAAAATGTTTGTATTTTCATAGGTATWWTTTGACATTTCTGTCTCTCTTGAGCGTTGCACACCAGAAGTTGTCAAACAAAAAAGGTATTTTTTTAGTCATGCCAGTTAGTGAATGACTATTTTATACTGCAGTAAATGACTTGAATGGTTGTGTARCTACATGTATCAATTGCAAATTTACTGAATTTTTGTTTGTATTTAAGCTTYCCAATCCGTATTCCTGGATTTGGTGAAGTAGAAGTGAACTTGGAGTATATTTGCAGTTGCCAGTGCGAGTCATCTCAATACAGAGTAAGTAGTTGGAGTGTATATTTTTTTGTCATACTAAGCARATGACATATACTACATTGTGACAATAAACTAGATGCAAAAAGATGTTTAAGTTTAATTACTGACGTTTTGTGTGTGATCTTTTGTTGGAGTAAACGATGCTGCAAACATTAGAAATTCAAGTCCTGGCTTCGTTGTTGTTGTCAAGACCTSATTCAAATGAAATAACTTCCCTGATTGGAGAATTTCACATTTTTCATTTGAAGGTTGAAAACAGCTCAAGATGTAGTGATGGTAATGGAACATATGCTTGTGGACAATGCTCTTGCTATGAGAATCGGTAAGTCGCATGAAAAACATATTATTCAATGGATAGTATAAATTTGTGATATTTTCTGGATGGAAATTGTTTGAACCATAGTTCAGAAGTGATAATAACGACCAACTTCTAAATTTCATTTGCCCATAGATATGGAGAAAACTGCGAATGTGACAGCCCTTTCGATAAAAGTAAAGATCTTTCGAAGTGCAAAGCGTAAGTATTTAAGGTTCCTATCATATTTCTATGGAGTGGAGTTTAACTGGTCTACCTTTTGATTTTTCAGGACCAACGCTACTGATGAACCTCCATGCAGTGGTAGTGGACAGTGTATCTGTGGCAAGTGTATATGTAACAGGGTAAGAAAATATCAAATATTAACTACATACACAATGTTCTTAGTTTTTCTTTAAACAATTCACTTACAGATGTCATAAACTGTTAAAAAAGCTCTCTATTAAGTTTCCTTTCCTACAYTATATCTGTTGGAGGCAAATGACGTCATAACTTTTGAGGAATCGCAACATGTGATCTTATAATGAATTTTATTTGCTACCAGGACCCCCGCGGGCGTATTTATGGTGACAAGTGTCAGTGCAACGATTTTTCGTGTCAGGAACACAAGGGTGCGGTATGTGGTGGTAAGTTTGCCTATCGCGTCGTGTTTCCCTTTGCCACAGTCATTTACATTACCATTCTTGTTAACAGGTTCCGACCGAGGAGTATGTGACTGTGGTGTCTGTAAATGTAAAGGAGTTTACATTGGAGTAAATTGCGGACAGCGAAATTGCTCGCTACTGGACTATGAATGTCGAAAAGACAAGGAATCGGTAAGAGTGTGTTTCTATCGTCCACAGTGATTTCTTTGCAGAGTCACATTCAAGCATCAGGAGAGCAAACGTTTCCGTCAATTTATAAAATCTTTCTTCCTTGTTGGGCTTGAGGGAGCCAGACTTTTATTTTGTACCTTGAATGTTGACATTTTATTTTGTWTTTAGCCGATATGTGGAGGTAAAGATCGAGGAACATGCGAATGTGGCCAGTGCAAGTGCAATAGTAAATACACTGGWCAGTACTGTGAAGATTGCCCGGTAGGTACTTGAAAAACCTYCAAGCGCTCGCGACGATACGCAGTGCAGCCTTTTAAGAATTAACASTAGGCATYARCACTAACATATTATTATTTCATTRCAGACGTGTGAAGGAGGCATTTGCAGCAGCAGCAAAGACTGTATAACATGCACAAAGTTCGAGAAGAACAGTTTGGAGGACTGTAAAAAGGTCAATCGATGTGAAGCTGTCATACAGACCGTRGAAACTATCAAGAACATCGATACTTACACAGGTAAATGAAGTAATAGTGTAAAGATAAATTAGTGTACATGAACAAATGTGTTAATAATGTATTAAATTCGGTGTTGTATTGTGCAGATCAAGGATTGTATCGTTGTGAAGGATCAAGAGAAAAGTGTACATACTACTTTACGTATAGAAAAAGAGCAGATGGGAAAAGCTATGACCTGTTTGTCCAAGAGAARCAAGGTTAGTTCCGTAAATATTGCTTTTGATTTTTATGGTAACATCTTGTATACATCACACGAGCAGAYCATTTTATAGCTGAATAGTTCTGTAAGGAGTTTACGTCTTTTCAGTGCTTTACATCTTTCCTAATCATATTATGGACATATCCTTTACCTCAGCCGAATCTTTCTTTCAGCATGTCCTGCTCCAGCACCTATCTTGGCTATATCATTGGGCGTGGTCGGGGGTATACTGCTTATCGGACTTGTGCTTTTGCTTATTGGGAAAATACTAGTTTCGATGGCGGTAAGTCAAAGCAACTTACAGTTCTGTAACTTCATTTACGAGTCATAAATTAAATACCGTTTAACTTTGTGTTGAAAGTTTTAAAACAAAATRACCACAAAGTATAACATGTATTTTGAGGGTGTGGCGGGAAAGCAGCCTAATAAGTACATTTTATAAGCCCCTGTAAGGCTGTGTTCATTCCTAGTCACTAAAAATATATTTTCCTTTTCATACAGGATCGTATTGAGTACAAGAGATTTGAACGAGACAGAATGAACGCCAAATGGCATAGGGTAAGTGTTACTAGCTCTCTTAGGATTACTAATGAAATGGCGAAGTTTCCATGCCTATTGTGTATCTTATGGAAAAACGTTGTCTTTATCAWGACAGACACTTAATTATTTTACTATTCTATCCAATATTTACAGGAAAAGAATCCTTTGTACAAAGAGGCCAAGACAACATTTGAAAACCCAACATATGCTGGTCGTTAACCTTCTTGTAGAGATTCGATTTGTAAAATACCGTGTTAATTAAAAACTACCAAAGTAAAATTTCCTGACAACAAAAGAATGGACATATTYCAATCGCATGACGACATGCATACTTCGTAATTTACACGACAAGAAAAATCAGAAATTTTATGTACTTATCGATCATGTAATACAATTCGTAACCGACGCTTGCCGGAGCATAATTTATAAATGCGCTAGGAATATTTTATCAATTATTAGACASTGTTTAGACAATTCTTTTTATCAGTTGTGTACGTTCTTATTCTTTTMATTACTTAGTCTTGTTTTAAAAGTCATTGATACGAACAAGTCACAACAAAGACGCTATATGTACAATATCCGAGTTTATACATGAAAAAAAAACCCTGTCAAATGGAAAAGTTAAATTATAAAACGCGTTCTTGTCAGTAGAATGCAAGAATGCAAATACTATCCTTTTGCGTTTTAAAACAGTATATATTGAAGTTGTTTTCAATTTGATAAATAGTAATGAAAAACTAATAAAAGCAATGAAAGTATAATTATATACTTATTGTCATTTTGGGAAGGAGTGAACGATCTTTATCCAATACCTTTCGCGCTGGCTTCTGCGCCATCTTGAGAAGGAGAACGAATTTTCAATGTAAATACAATTCTTTGCAACATCCAAAATGTTTTACATTTTAAATTAAATTGTCTGTTTAAATTAAATTAAATTGTATAGTGAATTGAGTGTCTAAAACCCTGAGTATCGGGGACCCTCCATATATCGTTGTGTGGGGATAATTGTCGTGTCTTTTAGAGGTAGAAATCAGGAGTATTTGGGTATCTGTAAAAACGAAAATGGGACAACCCTTTGCAAAACATTTCAAGCAAGTCCATGAACTTCATGTCTCTAGAACAATTGAATATTTTTAAGATAAGATTTGTTCAGTTTTGACTTAAATTTTTAATCAAAATCTTTTGCTGTTACACCTTCTGAAGCATTCTGCACAAGTAAAAGTGCAAAGTTCTTGCCACTCTGCGAGAAGGGGATTTACTTCTCTTCATAAACTGTTTGAACTATTTTGTTTTGCCACCGTACAAGTCGTACAAGCAATGTTGTTTTTATATTCACGATGTATCTTACATGCATGATGTTCATAGTATTAAATAATATTCTCAATATAGAAAGCAATGGTTACCACAGTGATTTTTGAATACCACTTTATCAACGACGAACAAACGACTTTATTTACTATATTCAAGGGCGGATCCAGCTGAAATTTTAAGGGGGGGGGCTATATGGTTCTAGGGGTCTAAATGGGCTTTATTTGTTATAAACAACATTGAAAATAATAAAAATCAATTTACTTTTTCTGCTCAGAGGAGGGCTACAGCCCCCATTTGCCCCTCCCTGGATCCGCCCTTGATATTACTATAAAGCTGTGTAAATTGTACGCTAAGTGTTTAACCGATCAGGACTCGCAGCTGATTATTGATGGTCTTTTCTTTGTTCAGTAGTGTCGACATGTGTTTCTTGTAGGCTTCGTATTCCTAGAAACAAATTAGACCATGAATTTGACGTTTTGAAGCGATTAAACTAATAAACCGTAAAAAGGAAAACAACTCCCTCCCCCAAAATGAAAAGAACAAATCAATGAAACCTTTCGTTGTTCTTGTCTTTTCTTTTCCGTATCTTCAACTTCTTTCTTTAGTCGTCGCACTTGTGAACTTGTCGACATTGATTGCATCTCGGACCTGCAGTTAGGAAGCATTACGTGTCAATAACAAAATGATATCATCTCATTTTAAAGCYGAGTCAACTTACGAGAATTTATCCTCCATTTCTTTAATAGTTCTCTCGGACTCTTCCAGACGATTTAGAATTTGTGAGTTTTCTTTCTGCTTTTCCTGCATAAAAAGCACAGATGGATTCCTGATACTTGATATTATTTGGCAATATTATGCAACAGTATCAATTACAGTGTAAAGTTTCAAAGGAAATTTTTGAAATTTCCAGGGTATCTGGAAAACTAACAATTACTATTCCCATACCGTAAGAAGTTTCCCCCTTTCCAAGGCAATCTGGGCGAATTCGTCACGGTCTTTTTGAAGTGAAGACATCTTTTGACCYTCTTCGAGTAAAGCTTTCTTTAAAGAAGCAATTTCTTGCTTCATAGTAGCAGAAACAGCTAGGAATAGAGTTAATTAAAAAGCAACATGAGATTGGACGCGTTTTTATAGTTACGTACTCAAGTGGTCTTTACCAGTGARTTTTTCCTCTATTGATGTCAGCTTTTCTTCTAATATGTTTTTATCTTTTACAGACTTGTCAGACAAATCTGCAATCTTTTGCTCCATTTCTCTAAAATACATGAATTAAGAATTGAGAAACACTTTCATAGTGACAAAAGGGGTAAAGGATATGAGAATACGCAGTAACGTTTACCTTCGAGTACTTTCCGAAGTCATATATTTTGACTGAATTTGATTTATCTCCTCTCGTAGTTGTTTAATTTCGTCGTCTCTCTTTTTCACAGTCTCGGCAAATAACAGTTTATTTTCATGGGAAAGTTTTTCATTTTCTCTCCGGAGTTTCTCATTTTTTGCCTTATAGTCGTCCTTAATAGCAATCATTTCTTCGTGGTTTTTGTTCAATACATCAAATCTTTTCTGCAGAACGTTGTATTTTCTAGTTTCTGTCTGTAATGTCGATAAAGTTTCTTCTCTAATTTCTCTTAGTTCTTGAATCTCTTTGTCGAGTTTAAGGGATTTTTTCAAAGACTCGTCAGACCGTTGTTTTAAAATGCAGATAAGTTCAGCTTGTTGGTCGATGCGAGAACGCAGCATCGCGTTCTCCGTCAAATCATCCTTGGACAGCGCTTTTAGTTTCTCTAAATTRATCTTCATATCTTCTGGAAATTCCAAATCGCGACCCTGAAATTTAAACGAAATTAAATACTCTGTTGTTTTTGCCATGATGTGTGGTATTTGGAAAAGTATTACATATCCAGACTGAACAGAACACAGTTCTATTCAAAAATCGATTCCGCAAGAAACAGGGAGGAGCGGACGGGTTGAACACTTTTAGCCTTCCAGATAATATATTCTTTATTTGAAATGAAAGGAAGGTAAAACCGCAAAAGAAAAACCGGGCTTTGGTTTGTCACTTATTCTAACAGTGTATCACAGAATAAAAAATCCCAAAAGTTTCATGCCTGACATTTCTAAATCGTCATAAGAATTTGGGCCGAAAGAAACTTCAATTGCAACGAGAAGTTCAAGGAGTGAGACGTCCAAATATAAAAATGAATCAGACGTGAAAATATCGTTTACATCATTTGTAGTGTGAAGTACTTAATCTCTCTTTTTAAATACTTTAAAATCATTAGCACCCTCTTGTAACACATTTGGATAAGACCTGACATCAATATTAATGTATGCATAATATTTGGAAAAGAAGAATGTACATAATTTAGAAAGAAAGGGGAGTTTTTTGATTGCCTTCTAAAGATGCTTTGCTAGTGTGTGAATAACCCTTATTGCATGTGGAGAGCAAATAAAGTTCATGGACAAAGATGTAAAGAGTAGATGACTACAATTTTTATTAGAAAGGTAAGTACAAAAAAGTCATAAATTTAAAAACTTTTTCTCTTAGAATAGCAGGATACAGCTCTATGTCATAAACAGCAGCACTATTTTGCACTATAATAGTACCATCTGTTAAAGAGTTGTGAATTTTCCTTAAATGATTCCCTCTCTACCGCTCTTTTCCTATCACTATAATAGTTGTGTGGTAAATGACTAGCATGATATTTTATCCCTTTAGTGCTCAAGGTTTGAAAACCTAGTACTTCATTGACAAGTACATTTAAATCAACTGAATGACCATATAAGCAGGGGTGTATCCAGGGGAGGGTCACAGGGTGCCCGTGACCCCCCTTTCAAATCCAAAAAGGAGAGAAAGATATGACATCATATTGACGTAATATGACATCACAGTGACAATTTGGTATGTAAGGACCCCCCAATGAAAATCCTGGACATGTCCCTGATAAGATTTGGTCCAGCCTCTCTTAGTTAAGGGATGGCTGTTCAAAATCTGATTTTCCACTGAATAGATTTATACATCTATATACTTTTTAGGGGCTTGTTGCATGAAGACTTAATTGCACAATTCCTGGAGAATACAATTATTAGAATGCAAAATTTTAATGGACTATAAATTTATCAGTCCTTTGTATAATCACTCCCTTGTGGGTAGGTCTATTCAATATTTGTACAACCAGACCCAGTAGATGGCTGTTACAGTAAAAATCAATTCGTAAACACCATTCTTGAACAGTCAACAAGTTATGTTTAAATTCCTAGAATCATGTAGATTTTTTAATAATTTTGTTTTCTCCTAATTATCAATTTAGTTTTTATACATCTCAAAACAAAATCTTCTTTACTTCTCTCAAATATTCAGAAAGACAGCTTTTTAATAATGAAAGAGGGGAAGCTTTCTTTTGCCGAAAAATACATAACTTAACGACTCCTATAGGTCCCTAATTCAACCCAACGTTATGAATTTTTAAAGAGAAGACAGATGTCTGGCAAGAAAAAAAGTGACGACAAATAAAATTCGCTAAAATTTAGTTGTGCTACGTAAACATTAAACTGTCAAAATTGATTTCCTTTTGCTATTCATATAAGAGCTTTAGATACCAATTTAAAGAGTTGTTTTGGATCAGCTCTGATTTTTCAACGTATCCTAGAAACGATTTCTCACTTTTAAAACTTGTTGCCAAAGATCAATAGCATTATTTTACCTGAGAATTGATCATTTCTCGTAGATCTTTAGGCGATCTTCCACTGTTTCCACCACTTGATGCCATGTCTTCAATCTAAACTGGAAAGTTTTTTAGGCACCTTTTCTGACAGTGTTGAGCGAGTGACTTTGTTGTCAAAGCGAAAGTCACGAAGTTTGAATGTCCACATGAAACAAAATGATCCACCTCTTTGCAGACTGAATATTATATTAACAACCTAATAATGCTTTCAAAGCAAAGAATGCTCGAGTTTCCGGAATTCAAGGGTTAAATCCAGCAATTTTAGGATTACAATTTTTTCCCATAAACAACAACTTGACTCTATGACAGCAACCGCTGGTCAACTAGAACGACTTTTGATGTTACACCACAGGGAGTCCAAGCGCATAGAAAAGAAAATGTGGGAAAAAACTTCCCACCTCACTCTTTTTATTCTCGCGGTCTCTTCCTTTCTTTTATTCCCTCAGCTTAATTCTATTCAACCACATAAAGCAGCAAACTTGCTGAAACTCTTACCAAAGAACATCCTGTTTCTGAGATGCTGTATAAAAGGGACTTTCATTATTTCACATTTTTATTCGCGTTGACATTGCAAGGTACAATATGAAGAGTGTTCTTATGACTATCTTGTATTTGACCGTTTTTATGCAAACAGGTTAGTATGTTCCCAGATTCCTCTTAGCGATTTTGAGAAAATCGCCGAGGTTGGATGTATAAGCTTCAAACCAAAATAAATGTAGACTAACCGCAAATTATAGAACTATGTCAACTATGACTCGATACATTGTAAAATTGCAGCCAGTGAGCATCTGTGAACGCAACTGAATTTAAGAAGAGATTAACCTATGGCTTAAAAGGAAAACAATTTAGTCTTTTTCATAGTTTAATATTTAGCATAGTTATTTGACAACAATTTCATGTTATTTTTCCAGTTTCCTCCCTGAAGTGTTACGTTTGTTCCAAGGCAAATGGCAATTGCATTACCGGCCAAAAAGATTGCGGCTCTTCCTACAAATGTATGAAGATCGAATATGAAGAGTCCAAAAATGTCTACAAGTTGTGCGCCAGCAATGGGACGTGTTCAGCGGCAGAAATGAAATGTGGACTAGGAAAGTGCAAATCATACTGCTGCGATGGTAGTCTGTGCAACTCTGCATCCGTCCTAAAATGTTTGTCATTGTTCTCAGTTTTGTTACTGTCAGGCATGCGGTTTGCTGGTCTTACATTGTAATTTCATGAAACTAATTGGCCTGAAACTATTAAAATGTTTTGCATTAACTTGTATGTCTGGGTTGATAAATATCTTGTTGTACTGGCTCATTTCAGCCATCACGTGACTCCGTTGTTTTCAATGACTCTTGTTTTAGTTGACTCTGAATTCAGTTTTAAACTGTAACTGTTTTTCATTCAGCTTTATTAGGACCGTAGATAAACTCCAAATACTCATCAAGCTCTGCTAACTTCAACTTTTCTTCTTGTTCTTTCCTCGCGATGCCTCTAACACTCCTGAGAGGTTTGCGGTTGAATGTAGCACCCAGTTCTACTGCACGGTCATGACGTACACAGGTATCCTGCACTTCTTGCATGCTCGAATAAAGCTGTTTTCTTTTAATGTTGTCCCATGCACAACGTTCATTGTACGATCGATATATCATTTCATCTGAAGGATATCTAACAAGAGCAATAGTGTGAGGCTGTGACCACACGCAAGTCATATTTGCAAACAAGCTAACAATAATAAATATCAATGTATTCTACTGATATTAGTCGAAGAAAACTTACTGTGTATGTAAGGCAATATCTCTAGCACACTCGATGGTAGTCTTACTTGAATATCGCATATAATCTGCCCTCTTTATTCGTAATAAAATCGCGCCGTTGCTGATTAACATAAGCTTTCGTCCTGTTGGCATGAGAACCTCGCTAAGATCCTGAAAAAAACAACACATCATTGAAAGAAGTCAAGAGTCATGAATGTTAATTCTACCTCCATTCTACCCAAAGACTCTCCAATGATGATGATGATGATGTTGATAATAATGATAATCAGCCATATGCGCTTTTATGATAATTAACAATGGATAGCTTCTAAGTGCCCAGGTATGTCAACACAATACTCACAAAGATGTCTCCAGATTGCAGTCTTGCAATATCTAGAAAAACAATGTCCTTATTCAATCTTCCAGATTCGTTTGTCAGTCGCATCAGGTCCAATAGAGTTAAAGAATTCAACTCCATGCGTTTTTCAAGCACAATTTGAGACTGGTCTAGTTCATTTTTGGCTTCTTGGCTGTTGACCAGCGGCTTCTCGTCGTCATCCACTTCACAATAATTAGAGTTCCCCTTGGCATGTGGCATCTCCGAGTATGATAAGTCCATCACTTTTATCATACGTTCCTTTGCGACAATGCTTTGCCGACCAGGATTTATTCTTATATTTTTGACTCTCTTTAATGCAGCTTCTGATTCGCTTTCGGTTTCGCTATCGGTTTCACTCTCGCTAGAAATAAACACGTTAATGCTGGTATAAATCTGAGAGGACGAACTGTCTGTCTAAAAATGCACTGATATGCAGAAAGTTCCATTAATTAGCTTACATTTCTTCAGGCTCGGATTCCTGGCGTTCGTCGACGGTCTTGTCTTTATTAGCAAAATTGTAAGGTTGCTTAAAGCTCTGTTCGAGCTCTTTTTTCCAGCCACTGGACGAGGAGGCAGACGCTCGACTTCCTCGTCCAAAAAACAGGAAAGACTCTTCGAAAGTTATTTTTTTCGGCTCAAATAATCGCGGTGGACAGCGAAGCTCGAGAGCTTTGATGACTGAACACTTGCCCTGTAAATTCCAGAATAAAATTCTTAATCAAAAGGGACCACAATTTTTAACTCTCAAATTTTGCTTCTATAGTCTATGTTGTATGCTTTATGCCGAAAGTCCTTCTAATACAACTTCTGAACGACTTAATCTGGAAAAAAAAATATTTGTTACCTGCATGCAGATGTAAATCCACTCCGTATCCTTGCTGCTATCCTTGACTATGATCTTGTTTGATTTCCACTACAAAACATTAAAATTATAATAACTTATGTATTACCAATAACAAATAAAATGACATACTCACATCCTGAATCTGCGCCTCAAAACAAATGTTTCTGAGCATTTCATCAGTCCAGTATTGAAAGATCTTCAAATTCCTGTAGTTTTGAAATATTGCAGTGAAGGCACATCACGAGAACTTGGAGGGGGAGGGAGGGGGGGCTCCCTTCTTCTTTCCTATTTTATTATCATCAGAGGGAGGGGGTATTATATATACTTTCGTAAACACAAACTCACTTGCAAAACGTAATCTTATCTCCCAATTCCTTGTCGTAAATCTTCGGGCACGTGATGGCAAACACGTCACGGTCAACCACTAGTAGTTCGATATCCTCACGTACGACTACTGATGCGGTACGCTTTATTTTACGCAACAACGCAAGCTCCTACGTATAAAAATCAGGCGAAGTAGATTGAAAAAAGGTATCACAATTCATCCACAAAGCGATCAGACTATGCCAATTACTATTGAGAGAGAACAGCGGTTATTCGTTGTTTTTTGGCAAATAACTTTCAGCACGCAGAGAATCCGTGTGAGCGCTCTTTGAGCGTCTAGTTATAATAGCAAAAGCTATTCAATTTTTTCAGTTGATGAATGCATTCTTACCCCAAAGCTGTCTCCACGATGTAACACCACCGCTGTATGCCATACCACATGACCTGAACGTACTAGGAGCTCCTCGACATTAACAAAGGCTGAACCGGAAAACACGAAATAGAAAGCTAGCCCCTCGTGCCCTTTACGAAGTATTGTACGCCCATGTTCAAATCTGAAAGGAAACGTTCTTTAAATTCGAAGCTTTATTCCCTTGTTTAAAAAAGACATATATCAACACTGTCACTGCTTTAAATCGTACATCATCGGATAGCTAGGGACGTCTTCTCATACCTTTGATAAGTCATGGCGCGACACATTGCCATCTGAATTCTGTAGGTAAATTTGTCATAACTTTGCAGCCCTTTGAGTACAGCATGGAGCTGACTAAGATCCATGTCACTTCGTTCCATGGGTGGCTTAGCAAGGATACTCTTTGCCCATTCGGGAACATAAGCATATTGCTAAGGGTAGAACAAAACAAAATACCTTAGTGAAGACTACATTTTCTTATAGATATCTGGTAAACTGTAGCCCCGTTCGTAGGAATATGTCCCAAAAAAAGTCTTCTGTTACAAAGATTATTTTTGCGCAATTATGGTTGCTCATGTTTATAACATAATAATTCCTTAATAAAATAACAGTCTAAATAGTCATTTAAATCACTCACCGATTTTCCCTTCTGAAAGATTGTCATGTTGAACAATATTTCTTTGGCTTCTGATGTGTGTTTTAAAGCATGCCATGACTTTTGTGCTGCAGTCATTGGGGTTTGATGAGTGGAGAAGCTCTTGAGGGCTTTAAGGAATTTACACAAAGTTTGTACAACGATGGCTGCTTTGTAAAACTTCTGTTTTGCCTGAAAATGTAAACAAAACCTAGAGGTGACATTGAGGTTCCGCCTTTTGGACATATAACAGCACAGCAACAACAGAGAGAGTTGTTGTTTCATCTGGACATAGTTAATAAACTATGATCTGGAAAACTTACCAGTTTTGCTCTCCTTATTCGTGTTTCTGCCAGCCATTTCTTTTTYTCTATAAACATATCAAATGTCCCTGTAGTTGTCTTGAAGGCCAACAGCGATAACGTTGTACCTTTGAGAGTYCTCTTTTTAGTAGTTTGTTGATCTTTTTTGGCTTTTGTTGCTGCTTCTTCTTTTCCTTTGTCTACCAGCATAATTCGTCGTATTCGTCTCTTAGCAGACTGACTTCTGATCTTTTCTTTCAAACTTTCAACATTAAGGTTACCATCACWGGYCGAATAATCTTTTCCTCGGTCTGCTAGTACATTACGGTAAAGCCATTCGGAATCAGACCTCGTACCTGTCTTAGCACTTGAGGCGCGGATAAGYCCTTTGTCTACGCCATCACTCTGTTTTGAACTATCCWGGTTTTCAGACTGATTTTTCTCTTGTGTGGCGGATTCAAACACGTTTGCTATCGAAGAAAGATCGTCGGTTTTCTCAGGCAKGATGCCATCTATACCTTGATAGCCGTGTAGGGTGTCTCTACCAAAAGAGCGAAGGAAATGATCGCGGCCGATATTAGACAATCGTCGAGTCCCCGGTATCTGTTTTTTCTTGGCATCACTATGCCAGGCCTCACTTAACAACGAACTTGATTTTTTTGAAACTGTTCTCCTTCTCGTGAAACTGGTCGCTGGACGTTTATCAGTTGTTGTTGCTGCTTCTGTGCTGTCATGACTAAAAGTTACTCTAACAGTAGTAGTCGCCATTGTTAGATACTAATGCTTCATTATTAAAAACATCCAGTAATTATCGGACAGCTACACGGTATTTGCGTCACCTCCAAWTATCAACTAATGACTTATGAACTCAAAGAAATCCGAAAAAAAATGCCAAGAAAGTTTGCTGTAGTTTTGCTTTGATCATAGCAACGACACAAACTTCGCGTGTCGATTCGCAGCTCTAGTATTTTATTTGGTTCTCAATCTCCCTAATTGTCTTTGTTTACTTCAAGTTGCTGTCTTAGTTGTTGGAGACTATGGCCTATCAGTGTTGAGGYATTGTTTTATATAACAATAATAATCACTTTTGAATAGAGCTTGAGATTATCTACAAACAATACCCGTGCATTGAAACGACGCGGTAATACTGGACCAGACCTTGTCGTAACACGTCCCGTTTTTTTCGCCTTAAGGCCCGTTTACATTTGCAATTTTTGCAGAGCGATTCTCGCGGTGATCGTCGTGCGACCATCGCCTGACTTTCGAACATGCTTGAAAATTAGCTGCAACTTCGCGGCGATTTTCCATCGTCGCAAAAATCGCAGGGCTGTTTACACGTACGATTTGAGTTGTGCGATAGTGGCGATTATCGCGCTGCAAAAATCGCAAGTGTAAATAGGCTTTTAAGCTTTTATGTCATATACCGTATGCGCAATGCATTGTAGGATATATTTGGGACAAAACATGTCGGATTTCTTTTGTTTTCTACAGAAGCAGATCCCACAATGCATTGCAAATCAAGTAGCTGACGTAAAAGGGTTTCTAGTGTAGAAAACTGTTGGTAAATATAATCTACTATAATCTAAGTAGGGTTAACCATTGTATCTAGCCCTCGAAGAAAGGAAAGGAAAGGTTTCTTTATTTTCTTTCCTCATTTTTTCTCTCGAAAAAACTCAACTATAGCCTTTGGCGGATGATTTGGAATTTTCTTCGTAAAGCCCTTCTTCGTAAACTGAATCCAGAGGCGACACAGGGTAGTAGTATCTGTTTATTTTTTCCAAACTAAATTTACCATGATTTCACTATATTCATTTGACTTAGTTGTCAAGACGATGGGAGGCGCCATTTTSAAAATACATTATATCTTTTCCACTTGCTTGAACAATGGAAATTGGAGTTCGAAATATTTGCTTTCACTGATTCATGTGTATACATWAATTCGTTCATTAAATTATAATGTACAACATTCTACAATGTTAAAAAGGGTATATATTGTTAAAACGTTTAATTTATAAATTCTAAAGGATTGAAATGGTGAGTTAAATCATTTATATGGATTCAATCAGGATAAGAATAGAGTATCTTGAACATGTAGCTAGTAACGCCCTATTGTTTCTAAGAATCTTAATAACAGCAACGAATTGGATCTACTTAAAGGATAATTTCTTCCAAATGAAACTTTCGACACACATCGTAGTCCATTCTTCACTATTATTATATATACAAACAGTTCATATCTTATCAAAAGATTTCATTGAACACAATTGCTTCAGTGCCAACAACGCACCACTTGTAGCCAATCAGAATGTTCTGTCAAGCGTCCAATCATATCATGTCAAAACCATGACTATTTTTTATTGATTGACGTCCTCAAACACGTGACAGCCACGGCTTTCATCATTCGTTAATGATTTGATATCACGTGGTATCAGGATGACTTGTCACTGCTGCTGGTTCTCGATCGTCCTTTCTTTGGGGGTGGTGGAGGTGGTGGTGGTTTGTTGCCACTATTCGATCTGTCTCTATTCTCAGAATTTGATCTGTTTTTCAGCAAGACTTCTGGAGGTGGTGGTGGTAAGTCCACATCTGATCCCGCTAGCATCATCTCGGGCGGTGGTGGGAGTGGGATGTTGTCAAGAGAGTCCGTTGATCCCATTTCTGCAATACGAGTAATCTTTTTATCTCCAATGTTGTTGGTCCCATTCTCAGTCATGCTGCCACTTCGAGATGGCTTTCTTTTAACTGGAGGGGGGACGACCTCTTTGTGGATGGGAGGCGGCGGGGGAGGAAAATCGGCCGCCTGATCACAAAACGCGTCATCCCCGCCTCCACTAGACCTGGAAGGCTTACGTGCAACTGGTGGTGGAGGTGGTGGTGGACAAGATGATGATGATGATGACGATGATGACAATGAACGTGCTTTATGTRCCACTGTAGATGTGCTACTAGAGTGCTGTGGGGGTGGTGGTGGTGATGATGCCGAACGTGCTTTAAGTGCCAGTGCAGATGAATTATTAGAGTGCAGTGGGGGTGGGGGTGGTGAGTGCTGTGCTGGTGAAGACATTGGAAATATAGACACACCTTTCTGAGATAATTGAGGAGGTGGTGACTGCAATCCCTCTAGCATGGTCTTGATGTCTGTAGGCGATGGAATGTGTGCTGTCTCTTCTTCCCTTTCGTCTTCACCCTCTTGGYTGCTGGTAGCTAATGGTGGACCAATATTCAGTTGATTAGGGGGAGGTGGTGGTGGGCCAACATCAAGCTGATTAGGGGGCGGCGGTGGGGCAATATCCAGCTGTTGCGGTCGCTGTGGGGGTGGAGGTGGTGGTATTTCATGTCGTGGTGAAGGAGGATGTTCTTCCTCTAGTATCTCGTCCATAATCATTGCATTGTCGATATTGAATGCTTTGGGGCTTGTAGTATTTGGAGTCATTCCAGGCCCAGCACTGCTTGGAGAACTAGGCAGCTGATAATAAAATACAAAAATTAACACAATAAACTAATGGAATTTATTTAGGATTTTTACACTCATTTACCTCGTCGTCGTCCACATCATCTCCTTTTTTCCATGCATCAGAGAAAAGGTTTCCGATGCTTTTCTTCTTGGGCTGTTTTGGTTCTGGGGTAACTTTCCTTGAAACTGAGAAACTTTGACTTCCGCCTTTAGAAGAAAAATGAAAAAGTTCTATTATTGATTTTCTTGAGTGGGAATCCGCTGACAGTAAATATGATTATGTACGAAGAACTACTGTCCTTGAATCAAGACGTTAGTGACGTACCTGGGTTGTTACCAATAGCTAGTTTAAGCCTATCTGACTGTGCCTTGGCCTTTAATGCTTTGTCACGGGCATCTGAGATCTGCAATAAGATAACGTTAATCAGTATTAGGAACAAGAGCTAGAGACTTGTTGGTATTACTTATCAAAAGTGTTGAATAGGCATATAAAACTGAATAAATACTAAAATACTTCCGCGTCTAGCATTAAACCAATGACGTCAATTAATCTCTATANTTCTTCCCTTTCGTCTTCACCCTCTTGGCTGCTGGTAGCTAATGGTGGACCAATATTCAGTTGATTAGGGGGAGGTGGTGGTGGGCCAACATCAAGCTGATTAGGGGGCGGCGGTGGGGCAATATCCAGCTGTTGCGGTCGCTGTGGGGGTGGAGGTGGTGGTATTTCATGTCGTGGTGAAGGAGGATGTTCTTCCTCTAGTATCTCGTCCATAATCATTGCATTGTCGATATTGAATGCTTTGGGGCTTGTAGTATTTGGAGTCATTCCAGGCCCAGCACTGCTTGGAGAACTAGGCAGCTGATAATAAAATACAAAAATTAACACAATAAACTAATGGAATTTATTTAGGATTTTTACACTCATTTACCTCGTCGTCGTCCACATCATCTCCTTTTTTCCATGCATCAGAGAAAAGGTTTCCGATGCTTTTCTTCTTGGGCTGTTTTGGTTCTGGGGTAACTTTCCTTGAAACTGAGAAACTTTGACTTCCGCCTTTAGAAGAAAAATGAAAAAGTTCTATTATTGATTTTCTTGAGTGGGAATCCGCTGACAGTAAATATGATTATGTACGAAGAACTACTGTCCTTGAATCAAGACGTTAGTGACGTACCTGGGTTGTTACCAATAGCTAGTTTAAGCCTATCTGACTGTGCCTTGGCCTTTAATGCTTTGTCACGGGCATCTGAGATCTGCAATAAGATAACGTTAATCAGTATTAGGAACAAGAGCTAGAGACTTGTTGGTATTACTTATCAAACAGTGTTGAATATGCATATAAAACTGAATAAATACTATAATACTTCCGCGTCTAGCATTAAAACAATGACGTCAATTAATCTCTATAGCCAGGTAACCGTAAATAAAAACAAGTGCTAAAATAAAAATAACTAAGTAATAATACTTCCGACATAAAGATTAATAGACAAATGGCAGCAGGAAATTAAGTTCTGCTAGATTGAGCAGCAGACTTCGCTTGACTTATCAAACACATTGCGACCTTTATACACATCTTATCAAACCAATCACTGAACCATGAACAGGGCGGGGGCTGGMCGCATAGTAATCATACTAATCATATTTTTGATATGTTACATATTAAGCATRCATTAGTGGATTAGACCTAATTTATTGCGGGGTTATCTCGAGGCATCTTTTCTGTTTGTCTGTTTGATGTCAATAGATTTTAGTCCAGAATGAGTACCGCACCAAAAGTTCAGAGATAAATTGTACCACACCCAAGTGACTATCCCAGGTGACTTAGAGCCACGCCTTCCTATTATCAATCAAGTATCATTCAAGATGCATGATTCATTGAAATAAGCTGAAACCGTAAAATCAATACGAGACGAAACAATCCAACATTACAGTATTTCCAAAGTTCAGTTATGGTATATTTTTCAGAGGATGTTAGTATCAAAATATAAATATGCTTATAAAGCAGAAACGTATAGAGATTTGTAAAAAACTACCAAGTGAACATAAACTTCTTTTTAATCTTTATTTCGAAGTACAGTAATAATATATGTATATCTTTTAAGGCAAGATATAATCTCGTTATAATAATATAATATAATAGATAGCAAACGTGTTGATGACGTCCGTTCTGTTCAATATTCTAGGAGYTATATATATAGATATCTAAACTTACTGAAATTGATTTTGACGTGCCTCTGTTAGTATTAKTSTTATATTATATAARTTATCTTGTTATCAGCATAAAATTAGCGTTACAGGAATGAATGAACTCAAACGTTCATCACCATAATATTATTTGATTAGCTGGACCCCAAGAAATCATGGGTAATATCAGATAGCTTCGCGGAGTCTTTGTTAGATAACTAGAAAGCTGGTTCTGAGAACGACAACAGTGTTTTGAGGTTCGAAAGTCCTCATCGTGTCCGGAAAATCGAACTGTATTTTAATTTCTTACACAGATCTACCAAAAGCACGTCCARATATTTTCCCATGRCCCCTYAGRGTCGTATTGYAMAGTTTCAAGCTGACAACGTTTATAAAATAAATGTTAAAATCTTAGAAAGCGCACCATTTTTGTAATAAGAGTTTTTACATGTTTTCGAAAGTTATCGTCGAAAACTAAACGAAAAACACTTGGTTTTCTCACCAACCTGAGCATAAGTCGGTTCAGACTTTTGTCCTGCGCTAAAACTTGAAGCTTTTGGAAATCTGTTTTTATCTAAYGAGAAAGCRATTCTGTCCATTTCGTCTTGGGTGGTAGCGTAGTCATCAAGCATTTTGTAGCCATACTGGAAAAGACACAAAAATACCAAATAAGGATTGTTACTAGGCAATGGACAACATTGACGATACTCGATATTTCGTGCTCCTTGTCATCATGGCCTCCATATCGTAGATGTGGTTCTTTGGGTCATGGTTCAAGTAGACGTCAATAGAAGACATAAATACCACAAACACAAACGAACGTCGCGTTGTTCTTGGATGTGTGCACTAAATTAGCTTTAACTCGTGCAACGYGGGGATAGCAAAAAATAGACAAAATACCACACGGAATGTAACGTGGTGATGTGTGAGAATAGGAACTTAATATTATAAACCTGAGTTTACCTTTGCTACTCGAATACACACAGTCCAWCGTTGAAGGGTTTTTTGATCTTCTGCACAAAAGTACTTGATGGCTTTAGAGTCGATTTCATGGTATTCGGGATGCTGAAAAACGATTTAAAATGAAATATGATCTAACACCACAATAAACAATAARCAATTATTAAGAGAAGTAGCTAAATAAATAAGAATATCCAGCAAAGTCGAACTGACAGAACATGCAAGGCTCACAATCTATAAAATAGTACCTTTAATACGAAGCAGTGTTCCGTTGGAGCCTTGAACTTCTTTTTGAAAGCAGCTCCACCAGTATACACCGAAACAAACTCAAACTTGACTAAACAAATCAGATCTTTCGAGGACTGCAAGAAAACAACATRCAAAGATATTATCTTATGAAAAATAAAAAGAATGGGAAAAGATACAGGGGAAAAGATAGAAATATGCACGATGTTCAAACCTTAGTTTTTCCTTTGGGTGTATAGTATATTCCTGACGCTCTAAGTACAAAGAAATGTTTCTTCCAGCTTTTCTTTCCTTCTTTGAGATACAAAACACCTTCCAGCTCAGGGAGTCTCATGGCGTCCGGTTGAAAATGTTCCTAAAATGTAAAACATCATGAAGCAAGACTGCTACATAAAAAACTCTTGATTAGTGGAATCCACTATGATCTTGAACTCGGTAGGTCGGTTTTCAGAGAATATCGCGAGCGCGTGCAAAACTTTCTGAAAACTGATTTCACAAGTCSAAATGAGAATGTCAGCTAAGATCACGGATGGACRGTCTATTTGCGTCTTTAATCCAATTTTAAATGTTACTTGTTATACCTGTATTAATATATCTTTACTTTTCTCTGCCAGCTGAGCCGCGCCTGCTGACGTACCGCTTGATAGGAGGTAATTCTACGAGATTACAAACAAAGTAAACTATTCCATACCAAGGAGCAATAATAATAACAATAGTTATAATCGACATCATTGTTAACTTAGATCATCATCATCATGACCGATCAACAAAGCTTGAAATCATGCACCATGATTACTCTCGTGACGTCGTATCATCATCATCATCATTATCATCATCATCATCATCATAGTAATCCATCGCAGCATACCTGTGGGTTTCGAAATAACGCATATTTGTCTCTTTTGTTAGTGATCACGATTCGRTTTTCATTTTCCCAAGGCCAGTATGACACAATATCTACGACTGACTCGTGATCTTCCAAACACCTCTCTAGTATTAAAAAAATATTAGAAATTAATAGCTGGAAAGAATTGTCCATATAATATAGAGTCTAAATAAAAGCAGASGTCGTAATAAGGAGGTTTAATAAGGAAGTCGTTTAAAGGAGGTTTCCTACCTATACAAAGTTCAGGTAATCTTTCAACAAGCGTCCAGTTTGGATCTGGTTCAGCATCATTTTTGATCATCATTTTCTTGCTAACTTCCCACGCTGTCCACGTTTGGTCAATCGCGATCGTTTTCGAAGTGGGATCTTCATCGTTGTAGACTTTTACGACTAACTACAGACATACAAGAATTGAAAGTGTAAAGAAAAATGCTAAAAAAATATAACTAACCACGATAAAATAATCCAATGTTTAATGGTGTCTGTTAAGTCTCACCTTTTTAACTCTGGCTGCACGGAGTTTCTCCAATGCGATTCTAATCTTCTCAGCCTTGATTCTCTCCTGCTGTTCTTCCTAAAATAAGCCCGAGTACAGTCATTTAATAAGGAATGACGTCATCGCTGACGCCTCTCATCTATCTATGATGATGTCATAACTAAGTCATCACATAGCATGTGTAATTTAAACAATGACGTCATAAMATAGTTGGGATATATTTTTGACCTTGACTGAACGATACGCACATTTACCGCTGTGTACGTACAGTTAAAAACGTCGTAACGTTGCATATCACAACAGGCTTATCGTAAAATATATATATACAAGAACTGATTGTACATTGACACTTGTGAGCGCGCAATGTTGCGGGATCCCTGTGTGGGGCAATGCTGACTCACCCAGGTTAATTCTTTATTTTCCTCTTGCACACTTTCCAAGCGACTACGGACATCTGCTGGGACCTGTTTCAGTGTAATAAYATTTGTTAGTCTCTCAATTAGATGTAGAAATTCCCCATTTCATTGTCATGTTTCCGGTTTTTGGTTGTTCTACCCTGCTCTTTTTTTTTGGTCGTACTGAATGCTTTACTCTTTCCTTCAGAAAAGAACGAAGAATTTTGAAAAACTATAGTAACAGCTGAGAGGTCTTTGGATACATATTAGGAGAGGATCACGCTGAGCCGGATAAGGCTTGGTGTTTCCTTAAATGAATATTCGATCAGTTGAAATAAATGCCGTGAAAGAGTGCAAACACTATAAGCGTGAAATAGCCGTGCAATATAGCGCAATATAGTGAAGATTAGACATAAGGAAACAATGAATTTCTCAGAATTCAGTACAATTTAATACAATTGATCACTAAAGATTTTTAAGGTTATAGTGTTTGCACGTAAAACACAAAGAACTTGGCTCAAATTAAGATAAAATACCAAAAAAAGGTTACACATGTCAATATAATAAAATGAAACAGGAGTCACACGTCTGCRCCATTAAACATGCCTCGACGCATCTAGGAGGCTAAAACCTAAAACAATGCAGTAATAACGTCGACATAGAGATAATACATTCTTGGGATTTCTAGCACACGTTGAAAATAAATAAACTTGGAAGAGTTAAAACAAATACAATAGATAAGAGAAGATGCAGAAAATGAGAATTAAAAGTGAAAAAGTGGAAAAGAACTTCAATGCGTAAAAAGAGAACGGAAGTTTTAGGATCTTGGACAATGCGGTTTGTAGGTTTTTACTTAAATGAATATTGAACAGATAATAGGTTCCGACTTATCACAACACACTAAAAAGCGTTTATGGAATTGTAAACAAGAAGACAATGAAATGAAATCGCAAAAAATAAAAACGAGAACGAAAAAAATCCTTTCATATGACAACTTAGGAAAACCTAATAATCATCTATGAAGGTCTACCTCGTCAATCTATAATTTTATGTCAAGTAATTGTTTGACGTTTCATTCAAAGGATAATCGTCCTTATTACACGTGCAGTATTAGTACAACTTAAAACTTGTCAAAATGTACAAACAAACAAAAACATTGCGGTTACAAAAGGACAAAAGAGAAAACATGGAAAAGAGTTACATACAAAGATAATGATAATGGAAAAGGAAGATACAACACTTAGAGATGATGGCTTGCGGCCAAATAGGAATTGCTTTGCGATTGTCACACAAAGTGATGTTTTCATTTTCTTYATATTCAATTTCGTATCGATAAAATAGCGTTCAATACTTCCTGCCKACAGACAACAAATATACTCTTTCATCTTTACGACAAATTCAAAACAAGCCATTGATGTTATCTGTAATTGTTGCGCAGTTACCTTAACAGTTGGCGATAGAGGTGAATTGGGCTTTGGTGCGAATGAATTCTCTATTAAAGGCTGATCTGTAGTGACTACTGTGGAGTTATTTGAATTCAGATCTTTTTCCATAATACACAAATCCTCCAATAAAGCATCGAGATCTACTTCTCCAGTATCTGAAAACGAATGAATCAATTAGTGATAAACTATTAACACATAATTGATGACGTATCGGTCTATAATGAACAGTATGGCCCATTGAATAATAAAATTAGGTTATTTATGCTCCAGATGGTCAAAYGAAGAAAATACTCACTTATAACGTTTGTCAATTGTACACTTTTAACGACAGCCACAAGCGTGAATGAAGACTGTATGTCACGACCCTAAGAACTTTATACTGAAAGCCGAAACTCCAAAACACCTAATACCATCTATAAAGATCGTCACATGAATCCATGAAGTCATGCAATAGAGAACGCCTTTAAAAAGGAAGCTAAGTTCCTCAATCCAATGRAACAAAAATAGGAAAAATAATAATAAAAATCCATACTAATAGTGAAAATAACCGCACAATTGACAATGAAACCCAAGAAATCATAAATKAATGCTGAATGATTATAATCCTTGTCATTATATTAAATGTGGGGAATCTTACAGGTTTAGAACTTTAAATTTGATTTGAAAAAATACATTACTCAATACAATACAATTCAATGTAGTAAAAATAGTTTTTAGAAAAAAGCGCGCAGCATGTTTTATCCGAAAGGAAATATAAATGTTACTTTTCTCTTTTTTCAAATTATCCGTGACATCACTTCCGTATAAAGATCATTAGTCTTGTATTTCTTGTGACCTATGTATTTTAAAAATTGTTTCTTTAGTGTGGATGTCATTTTGTGTAACTGGTAATTGCCGACATATGGGCAAAAATAATGTGATATCGTCGTTTCAATCTTACAAGCCTTTCAACGTAATTACACCGCGAAATACGACACACATCAATTTGATAGCGTCTCTAAATAAATAATGAACTGAATCAAAGTCATTTTAAATCACAGTTTGTTACTTCATAGCYATGACCCTTCGTTAAAGAAACAYTACCAACAAAAGCACAAAAACTGCGTACTCTAACAAAATATTATCATAAGCTGCTTCAYAAAGCACGGTTTTTAGTCCTCTCAATCCTGATTGGCAGTTTAACAAAAAGCAAACCAACTACAAGAGCAAYTCTGTCTAAAACGTTCCTACATTTGTGTCAGGGTAAGTTATTAAAAGTAGAGGAACATTAGTGACCTATAAACCGCCAAAAGCAGTTGTTGTTTCAATAAACGTACCCAAATGTGTCTTTTTAACGCAACCCACAAAACACAATATGCTATTGCTACTAAAGACCTTAAAAGCGATTATCAAACGATWTTGTTACTGAATGAAGACGGCTTCAAAGTCGCGTAACACGTAGCTTCTTGTACGTCTTTATGGGGAGTAACCACAACACCGTACATTACATTGTATTGCGATCCACAACCCCCCACTCTACTTCTTTTAGAGTATGTGTTCATTTAGACACGAGTTCAATGATTACAAAGATTGAACACACGCGTAAAACCGTAAGCGGAAACTCAAAATCAATGCAGATTTACCTTCGTTTCTGGGGCAATTCATGAAATCCATGACTGAAATCGAACTTGAAGATGTTTGGAAACTCTATTCTTGAGTTCTCGACAAATTTCAATTACTTTCAACAATGAGATAGCTTGAAAGAGCAAAGGTGGCGTACGGTATCTTGTCTTATCGGCATCCAATACTAGTTAGTGATTAGTGTATCAAATCAGAGGTCTCCTTGCGTTATCAGCTATTCCATGACKAATGGATCAAGGCCCCTGCCGTGTGGAATGATAAACACGAAACATAAACACTCGCGGGAGAGTTGCGCTACATTTCAAGGGGCTCATTAGTCTTTCAGCAGACCTTGTCAACAACAAACTTGACTAAAAAAATCCCAAGAAATGTGAAAAAACTTCCTTAATTGAACTCTTATACAGGTGCATTACAGTTCGTACTTATATATCTTG